GGTCATAATAGATAATTATTTCTTAAAGACTTTTGTTTGCTTACAAAAACACTGACAAGTTATAGTTACAGTTGTCAAACCGAACGCTCTACAGTGGTGACATCTGGAGGGAGCAATGAGCAGTTATTCACCGCAATTTGTTTACTTTTTTTTATTCTATTTAGGTTTCATTTTATGAAATTATTGATTTAAACTACAATTTTACTTAATTTATTGCTGTTTTTCATTTGGTGTTTAGGCTACTCTAGGCTACCTCACCTAAAATTCGGCTACATTAGGCTACTAAGGTTGTCAAAAATGGCGACATTGGACCCAGTGTTGTTGGCAACACTGATGGGAAAAACTGCTTATTTTCTTAAACATTGTGCTTTTTGAAACGATTTTCAAAATTAATATAAACTTCCGATACCTTTCGATATTATTTAAATATCTTTGATGAATATTTGGTTGTGGTCTAGTTTCAGTTCTAATCTTAGGGTCGTATTCTAGAACTCTACTCAATGCTCAAGTCAGGATTTGAGCAGACTTGAGTATGATTTCAAGCACTGGAAATACGACCCTAAAGGCAAGGACTAATGTATGACTTTCAGTGCTCACTGCAATTCTCAAGTCAGGACTTGAGTATTGAGTAGAGTTCTGGAATATATTCTAAAACTCATCATCATCATCATCAGGATTTGAGTATGGTTTAAAGCACTCGAAATCATACTCAAGTCCCTGCCATTAGGGTCGTATTTCCAGTGCTTATGTTTCCAGTGCAATCCTGACTTGAGCATGGAGTAGAGTTCTAGAATACGACCCTTATTAGTATTTTTTTCCGTCCTCTAAGGTTCTAATGGGTTAAATGGGTTAATTCTTATTTGTACATAAATACTAATGCACAGACTCGAGAGTACTTGACACAATAAAATTAAAGAAAAGAGTTTGTTTAAAAAATCAACTTCATTTATTTTTAATTCTTATTTTGTTACTTTCATGGAATTTACGCAATACAAATGTTGTAAAATATAATTACAATAGTTAACAGTTATTAAATTTTAAATGCAAAATTATTTTTATATTTAACAGTGTCATAGAGAAGTCCAACTATTGATTCTGATTTTGCACAATGACATGTCATATAAGAAAATAACAGAACAGTTTGTTTTTATTTCAAATTCTAATAATTGTATCCTAGATGTTTGCTAAATATGGGTTGTATATTGAACTATGGATTTCATCCGTAAAAGCCCTAAATTTAATTATACCAGGCAAGTTTTAGGCATTTTTAATGTAGGTATAGTGGGATTGTCGGGAGCCATATAATTGAACCAATTGAAATTCGGAATATCGAGTAATATCTCAAATACTATGGGAACTCGCTGATTTTACTTAACACATTGTATAAATACCTCCCAGCGATCCCACCGCACCAACCATTAATTGTACATTACAACAAATATTACAATTTCGAAATAAATGCCCTGACACTAAATATAACAGATGGCCTCGTCAAATCATTTTACAATAAAATAACACAAAACATAAAACACAATCGAATTAGATACATTATCCATTATGCAATCCAATGTCTATTAAATTCAAATTAACAATGCAAATAATTGTAATTTAGTTTTAATCAAGCGTTCCAATAATTATAGTCACCTTTGGTGGCATGTATTATCCGTATACTTTTAAGTTAAAATTATAGTGCACGCGTTTGGTGCACATTACCTAGCGATGAGACTCTCGACGGCCGCATGTGCGCAGCCACAACTACGGCGCCGCCGGAGAGCAGGCCGGAACCGGCGCTTACGCAACCGACTCTGCGTCAAGAAGCCATCTTCCCTATCATCAGCCGTATCCATCCTCCAGCTCGAAGCGCAATAAATTGACGAAGTGCCTGGCGTCATTTGTAATATTCTAGTCAGGCAGTAATTCGACTACAGCCTCGTCACCGGTCGGATTAGAAACGCCCGTTTATAATTTCCTACCATTACTGTACAGCAGTCACATTCCGTTGGCAAATAATTATAATTAAAATAAATAATAATTAATTTAGCTACAAATTGCCTAGTACCAACCGGAATGGGCTTTGTGAACACGCGGGTGGTGAATAACAAGTCCATTCTTACAAAAGGCCTGTATACGAGTTACAACGGCCCACGATTACACATTACACTATAACTAAGCGAATGCAATAATAAATTAAGACAAATATTTACACATCATCGCATTGTTATCCACATTTAAATAAGAACTTAAATTAGAATAATAATTTAAGATAGTCTGGACATACTAATAGGAATCAGTCATTCAATATCGACAGTGGTCGATCAGCTGGCGTCTCGTCTCGTAAACTGGCTGCGGCGCGCGGGCCCAGTGCGGGCGGAGCGCGACGGGCCTGCTGCACGGGCTCTGCCGGCCGTCGCCTACCACACGGACTCTGCTGGTCGCCTGAGCTTTCCGGCTGAATGGTATCCGTGAGAATGAAGGCTAGTAATATCCTAGAAGTGCACTCGCCGTGCGGGAGCGGGCGGCGGGCGGGGCATGGGCGCGGGGCGCGGCGACATGCGCCGGGCGCGCTGGCCGCCGCTTAAGTCGTGTCCCGCCCATATGTACCGATACGAACTTCATCTATTACTCGCGCCCACTCCAACGCGAAGGATTTCGGGTCCTCCAAGTAGTATGTGCGGTTGGGCTATGGAGGAAAAATGGACAAGAATAAGCATTTGGAAATAGTACAGGTACTTAACTAGTACTATCTAATGTCAAGTGAGTACTGTTCATTTGGGGTCTATCTAGAAACTTACCGTGTGTATTAAAAATATCCTAAAGTTTTTGGCTTCTACGCGTAGTTCGGGTGACCAAGGTATCTCTCCTTTCAACATCATATTGACTGGATCTACGTAGAAGAGCCGCGGGCCCGTGGTCAACAGCAACATACGCCGGCGCGCGAACAGTCCCTTCCTCTTGTCCACCTGTCCCTGCTTCAGTATTAATTCTCCATCCACAAATTGATGCCACTTGTTTTCACGAGCTTGCACTTCAAGCCGTCGCCGCTTTTCTTCAGGACTAATGTCTAAAATTCCTATAAAATAAAACAAAGACTCGTTAGTTTTATAAAGTAACGCTTATTTAGAAAGACGGAAGAAATTATAGTTTGATAAGTACGAAGAACATTATTTTTGGACCGGTACCAAATAATATATTATGACGTATTCATATATCACATTATGAGAAACATATCTTAACACAAAACAAACTTTGCGCATGTGACCAGCTGTTCCTATAAGGTCCTCATTAATAAAACCCTGGGCCGGACGTGGAGTACGTAGGCGGCGCAGGCGCAGACGCGAGCGCGGCGAGTCATTCATATTAAGCGCAGGCGGTGATCGTGGCACCGCGGGCCGCCGCCGGATGCGTGACGTCATCCTACTATAGGATAACTAAACCAAGAACGAAGGACGTCCGCTCTGAATGTGCATAGCAGCGTGCCGAATGATGACATAGGAATGCATTGCACCACGTGTACGGGTCATGTTACAATATTCATACAATATGTTGCAATTAACTGGGAATGCTTTCTGTGCAGAACCTTCTTTTTTAAGAAATTATTTTTATAAAACGGTACTTAAATAATCTGTTATTAGCGAAATAATCGTAAGTTAAATAGTTCAGTTATGAAAACGAGATGGATACAAATTGCAAAGTATTTAGGTCATGGACGCTACCAGTTGCCTCTTACTCGTCGCTTCACTGCACTCGCTTCGAGTCTTTTAATTGTCCACTGGCAACAAGTGAATAACGTAATCATAAAGATGTCTAAAACAATGATCACAATGTCTAATTTGCATACCAACGTAAAAAAAACTCTTCGAAACCTTACACAATTCGAAACAGATCAGCATGAAGACGATGCTGTTAAACCAATATAATTATTGAAAACCTACATGGATGTATAAATGAATATTTTTAAACATTATTGATACCAGTTCCAAACATTAATGTTCTTTGAATATAAACCATTGTGTGAAGAATAACATCAGGTGGAGTGGAGTCATTTGCCTGTCAGGTATAAAAAAAAAAAAAAAAAAATATATAAAAGGGAAATAATACCTTTTGGTGTAGAGAGATCGAATTCCCACAGACGAACGAGTTGATTGTTCCCCAAGCCAGGCTCGAGATGATCAGGTACAGTGTACTCTTCCTCGAAAGATCCGCCAGGCAAGTACGGGCTGATTTTTGGAGGAGTCTGGTCCCAGATATTTTCCCAGTCGATACCCTCGAAGAATGCATGGTTACGAATGCTCTCATACGTGTCTCCTTTGTCCTGTGCTCCTAGCCTCTTTGAATGATCCAAAACTAAAAGCTTTTCTACCAAGTCTTTAGCAACTGCCGGGAATCCTTCAGGGAATTCATATTCCATTTTGAAAATTTTTTGGAAAGTGAGGAATTCTCCAGGCGCCCGGAAAGGAGGCAAACCGGATATCATTTGGTATATAATGCAGCCCAGCGCCCAAAGGTCGGAAGCGCGAGTGTCCACGTGGTTGTGCAAAAGCTCAGGGCTCACATACTGCGCCGTGCCGACAAAGCTCACTTTCCTAGAACGATCGTTATTTGATTCGTCTTGCTCTTCCTGTGTCTTTATTGGTGATGATCGGATCTCCTCGGGGTCCATAATTTTGGCAGTTCCAAAATCAGCAATTTGCAAATGCATATTTTCGTCCAATAAAATATTTTCCGGTTTTAAATCACGGTGGATGATGCCTTTGGCGTGCATCTTTTCTAATGCCAACAACAGTTCAGCTGCATAAAATTTAGCTACGTTCAGCTCGAAAGAGCCAACTTTATTAATATAAGGCAACAGTTCGCCGTTCTTTGCGTACGACAATACAAAATACAATCTTTCCTCATCTTGGAACGTACAATACAATTTCACAAAACCATGTGGAACATTGAACAGCATATTAAGAGCGTCTTTCTCACGCTTTATATATTCACTCTTCTTTGTTCGAATGATATGAAGTTTTTCACAGACTTTAACTGAAAACAATAAAAAAGTGAAAATTAATGCCACAGCCATCAAAATGGAAAAATCTGTTCTATATTTTAAATAAATACTCAAAGACCTCTTCAGCAACATAAACAAAACAAATTTCTTATTATTTGAAGATAAAAATACTCACTTGCATATTCTTTCCCGGTGTGAATATCCTTTGCTAGAAACACGGTACTGTAACAGCCTTCTCCGATAAGTTTGCCAAATATGTAGTCCTTGGCAGAACGTTTCGTAGGTTTTGCTGACTGGCTGGGAGTAGGCGTGGCCGCAGGTCCCGTCGCAGGCGCAGCAGGAGCCGGCGATGCTGCCATCTTCACCGGCGACTCTACGACAGTCTCAGCTGCCGCAATGGGAGCGCGTACCTCACTCGTGGCTCGGCCGGTCGTCTGCAACAATACAAACGAACTGTCAGGCAATGCGCCATTCAAACTGGGAGGAAGGTGAAAATACGACTGACAGCGTCTTGTGATTGGCTAAAAGAGAGCAACGCGGCGACGCGTTTTGAGAGCGTGCACTTGTTTATCGGTCGACGGCACAGTGGTGGTACCAGCGGCGACTACTGAGATGGTGGCCACAAATCACTCGCGGCCGGTGGGGACCAGCAGGCAACGCGCCGTCTGCCGTGTCGGAGGCGTTAGGTGACCGTAAGATTCAAATACGCGACTGGACTCAATCAGGTTTTTAACTAAACTTGAAGGGAAATCATCTACTCGACTCGGTAGTTATGTCAACAACGTAATGTCAAATTGTCTTCGAAACCAGCAAACTCTGTTTTGAAAAACAAAAAATATATATTTAACGAATATAATCTACACCAATAAAATGCTCTTTAACAGCTGTAATAGAACAACAAATGTTTGCACATTTTTTTTTAATGAATACCAAACGCCAAATCGTACAAAAAAGTTTTGAGATTTCGGAATGGAAAGTTATAAGCTAAACAGTGGAATAATGCCGTCACCCGTCACGTTCACTGGCCTCACCTACAGTTCGATGATCCAATTTCTGGAGTTCGCGGCTTAAGTTTTTGTTCATTTTCTTGTGGAGGCGTCTGACAAAAAAGCCACTTCCATTCAACTACCAGAGTTAGAATGGACAGAGAAAGACATATTTCGCGATTCCTACTCTCTCTAACAAAGTGTGGAGACCACGACGCCATGGTTAACGGCTAATACACCAAAAACAAACTTGATGAAAAGTAAACGAAAGTACGCGGTACCGTTAGTGAATATGCGCCAATAGTTTCGTGCGAAAACTTTCCACTTCAATTAGAAAGCCACAATTATTTTTAGTGTTTCATCAGTAGTTACATTCAACAGTACGCTGAGCTTAACACTTGCATGCTGTTGGCTGTACATATTTCATTTGTGATATAAAAGTGATTTTGGAACATAGTCTTCCCGAAATTCATGGTGATATAAACTAAAATTACTACTCGGTCGGCAGCTAATTATGAATACCTACGCCACGCCTGAAATAAACATTTTAGAAGAGGCAATGTTCAAGTACTTATGGCAGGAATATGTACACTTATTTTTCAGGCATCATCTACTATGTGCCAAGTTAAAAGTACTAAGACCCCAGTGGTTCAGTCGCTATGTAGTTTTTGTCATTTTTGTCAGTCCTTCCTGGAACTCACGCTACTGGCGGGCGGATCCACATTTGTTTTGCATTTCAATGGAATTTAAAGGCCTTCTACGAAACCTCTATTAACCGTTCCCCCCATTTTTGAGTATTCTGTTAGTATGTATGAAATACCAACGGCATGTGTGATTCCATGAGAAATAGTGTATGAGTCACTAGAGTGGTAATGAGCGAAGTGGTCAGCGCGGGTCGCAAGTGGGTCTCGCATTCCGCAGTAGGGCGGCGCGGCGCGGTGCGCACCGCCACAACGGTACTCGGAGCGCATTCCCACCGCAACGCATTCCGCCGCACGTATCGACTCCGAGGTACTCGACTCGACCTCAATCCCCACCAAGCAGACCCTGCACCATGGCTGCCCGCAGAGTAGGTACCTCCCACCAACACATTTATCAACCAATTTTTGTATCACAAACGACACAGCGTCAACAGTTAATGCGCCACAGCGTGCTTTGAACATACCGACGAAACGTAACTTCAATTGTTAACGTCCACTTTATAACAAGATGGACGAGCTACAGCTACTTCTTATACGGTTAAAATTATGGTAAGTACATGGAACTACACCCCACGAGTATTGATCCCAGTAGCTTCAGTAATTCTTCGATTTACTAATAAATTACTTACTAATAAATTTAAAAAAAAAAGTTAATACAAAACGTAGTTAATTGAGCTGCTGGTAGGTGCGTGATCAAATTAAATACGAAAGTAGACTAATCGATTTGTACTTTGACCTCCAAGCATACGAGAAGTTAAAGCATACGTAGACGAAGAATGAGGACAATGTAAACTACGCAGTAATAAACAATAAGTGAAATGCGAGCAAGCAATATAGACATGTGCGTTACATAATTCACTGATTAACCGAACTATTACCTGTAGTAATGTAGCAATGGTTACTTAATTTAATGTTATTGAGCCCCAAGAGTCAAGACGGAGGTTGGCATCATAGCGGCCGCTACACCGACCTTGTGCCAAATAACTATGAAAGATGTGGAACACTGCATTTTCTAGTTCACTCTAGGTATGTTCCACTCACAGACAAGAACCAAAACATAAATCGAGTTGGTGGATTATAAATAAACATAGACTTTCCAATATGCCGTACGTAAACGTAACCAAGACTTATTGTTTTTGTGTTGATTGTGTAGTGTGTATGCATGGGCGGTCTTATCTACGAATATTCACTGAGAATATCAGTCGTGCATGTTTGGACCATGTTACATTTGAATGACCTTTTATTAATGTTGTAATCGGCATCGAGTCCAAACAAGAAGTATTATCTAGATACAGAACTTATTTTTGAAACGAAGCAACAACGTTTCGTTTTAAATACATGTATGTGTCATTCACTGCATATTTGCAGAAGATAGCTGAAGTTAAACATTCAGTCAAGTATCGATTATATTTGTGTTCGTTTCACTTCTTTAGTAACGCAAATACTCCAATCTGTGCTTTTCCATTAACAAGTGGGTCTCTGAAGAGATAAGAAATGTGGGTGTATACCTTCAATGCAGGGGCATTACGCCATCATATCTCTGATGTCATGACGTATCAAAAAAACACTCAGTCATAGCGTGTTTGACGTAGATAAGAAAATTGCGTAGGGTGCAAAGTATAAAGGATGTACGATGACAATGTTTGTCTCATGTAAATAATTATATCCCAAAACACATCGTGCTTCATAATATGTCGTTGTAGACTCGTGGAAATTTCTCTTGTCACTACAATTACTGCATGGCAGTCGGACGCAGAATACTTAAAATTTCTGTTTTGTGACTGAAAGCTCAATGTGGCTATTGAATTAAAAGAAATATTAAATTTATATATATAGTATAAATTGGACCTTGCGCACACAACAGATCACGAGCACAACTATTGTGACCAATCAACTTTAGCGAATTTTATTTGTGTAACATCCGGTTATAGGCCCAAAGATTGTTTTCGTGTCATACGACAAAATTAACATTTCGTGTTAATTATGTCTTGGGTATTCTCATCATTTATGTTTCGTTAAACTGGTTTCATCGGTTCACCAATTCCATAAAACAATACGATGGACAAAACCAGCAGAGTATGGAATAAACGTTGAACGGCATCGGCGGAGGTGAAGGAAACTATCATTTTTATAGTAGGTCATTACAACGGATGGATGAATGTGGCTCGCGAGGCGTTCGTAGTGGTAAACAAGGTGGTCACGGCGGCGACGCGTGAACAAACAAGTGTCGTGTCCGCGGAGCGCCCGCTGTTTGTTTACATCATACCCGCAGTCGTCACTGCGCGGGGCCGACGTCGCACACTTCTCACTAGGAGAACACGGCGAAAGTGTGCAATCACTGCGCTATGCAGCGAAAGTTTATCAACAACGTTGAAAATACCATGCCGCGGTGTTTCAAAATATTCTCATGATCTGATTCTTTTTTTCCTTTCCTTTATTTTTATAAAATATTATAACTTTTAATAGTCAACAATTCTCACATTATTATTTTTTTCATATACTTAGATACAATTTAAAATTCACGGTCGGATCGGTATAAGGTTAATATTCTTACTGAATGAATTAGATTTATGTATTTATTATATTTTATATTATATTAAATAAGTTATTGATTGGTTGGGGCAATTCTTTGCTTTAATCAATATTGTATAGTACTAAATCATTGATAATTGAAGATTCTTTGAAATTGGCATTAAAAAATTTCCTGTTTGGTAGGTGACAAATATAAAGGAAACGTATAAAGCAATTTCGACAACAATTGACGCAAAAATATAGCGAGGTACGTAATGAATGGAAGAGGTACCCAATCACTTAGCATCGCATACTTTTGCAAGTCTTTCCCATCCTTTCACTTTGCTTAATGTTGGAAGATAACAAATAATATTAATAATAACACGACGAATTTCAAAACTTACCACGATATCATAAACAAAATTTGCTCAAAACTACATAATATTTATTTATTCGGCAGACAGACAAGTGGGTACATAAAAGTAGACGCGCGGGAAGTCGTTGACCTTACCTTAGATTTGGGTGAGGGCTGTTTCCCGCGCTTCGTGGAGCTCACGCCTAGTAATCGCAGAATTCTATTAGCTGCTTCCAGAAGAGTTGCACTGCCCCTCGATCCTCTTTTAACTCTGATGGTCAATCCGCTCATTTCGACCCGTCTCTCACGTTGTCTTTTACCGTTTTATTGAAGATCCAAACGGTCCAAAACACGATCACAGTCCATGAATCTTGATTACTCAGTCTTATTTGGAAACGTTAAAACGAAACTGTAGGTTCAGTAACACGCGCGTAAAATTTACTAGGAACGCAGAGTGCTAAGAAAAATAACAAATAAACAAACGGCACTTTAGTTTGAGATAACGTGTACGTCCAATCTCTGACACGACGCGTTGCGGACTGACTGAACGATTTGAATTTGAACGAATACTGGCGAGCGGGGCGCTCGGGACGCTCGACTACTTGACGCAACGTTCTCCGCTCGCGCTACACTGAATAATCGCACGTTGTACAGAGCGGCGGCGCGGCACTGTTTGGGTAGTCGGTATAGAGATGTGGATGGAGTTCCCCTCGCCGCACACCCTCTACCGCGTAGACTCCGCGTTGTAAGCGATGCATCGTGGTACTACTACCCTGCCCACTCCCCCTCACCTCTCAATATGCTACCCCCCCAATTACTATGTGGCTTCACATTTTTGTACTACCCAATACCCATGATACTCTTTTATATGTTGTAACTCTAGCATATTTCACAAACTTGTGAAATGTAAATTGGATCATTATTATTTTTTCAATAATTCCTTTTATCAGCACCAAGAAATAATAACAGCTCAGCATGTTGGTCCATTACTCGTATTAAAAATTAGAAATACGAACTTGACTTGAGTCCCATCCGGATGTAAAGTGTATGAAAATTTAATTAAGTAGTACCTTAGTAGTACCTATTCTGTTTTGTCGATAAAGCCACATTGAGGCAGACATTTTCTTGCGCCCACGTGTCTGTGTTTTGGGTGACACGGGGGCGAGCGTCTGACGCGCGGGAAATAAGCGGTTTGGGGTACGGGGGGGGGGGGTAAGGGTGGCAGAGCGAGCGCGGGAATCGGGAACAAAATCAATATCAAGATGTGCACCCTGCCATGACACAGCGGTGGCGGCGACAGCGTCCGCGGATATGCATTTTCCGCCATCCACAACGTGGCCGCATGGGGTTCATTTAACCCCGTTAACAACATCACCACGTGCTCTGTTTATAAGCTTTGTGAAAAATACGGAAAATGTTCTTTCTGATTTCGAACATGAATTTTATAGCAGCACAAATAAATACAGCGTAGACGTTACACTAAAATTGGAAGTCAGTTAAATAATGATGAAAGAAATAAAACAATAGACGCAGCATTATGCGATCGGTATGTTTTGTAAATTTGTATGGTATATGGTAAATTCTACTTCATTGTTAATATAGTCAGTAGGTACTTAATATAATGCGAATAATTGTATGCACAATTTGAACTGCACTTATTTTTACAAAGTCATAAAAAAGGCAGCTCGTGTACGGTGGGCATTGGCATTTACCAATGCCACGGAATGGATGCACCGTGGCAACAATGTGACTTGCAGTATAACAAAGAAAATACATCCTTGACTTAATACTGTGTACAGCCAAACTATTGTAAGAATTATTTACAATAAATATCTTACATACGTGTGAAGAGGAACGATAGACTAATATTACGTTAAAATATATTTATTGCCTCTACACTACTACTGCAAGCCAATTCTCTAAATTTATGATTAACGTAACCATAAATGTAAACTTTCGGCGTGTTTCTAAGGACTGACATAGATGTAATAACAATTGCTACTACGGCTGACACCTCATGGAAAAAATCATAGAAATTGCATTTATGATATAAAAATATAGTAAGTCATAAAGCTAAAGAGTAGATAATTTTGTAGAAGATTATTTTGTTATTCGAAGTCATGGAAACAATGATCAAAAGAAAAAAAATACAAAACAACCACAGTGTGCCATCGCAGCAGCGTGGTTTAAAAATAGAATCCGGATTGGATTGGAAAACACCGCTTGAATGAGCAGCCGTTACGCACCGATTTGTGAGGATGCGTCGACGCAACGAGAATGTAAATGGATGCGGGCGGTGCAAGGGTAACGACCACATATATATACATATATATATTTATTAGTTGCACTTTCTTGACGTAGATTAGGATTTGTGACGTAGGATTTTATTTTACGTCTTGAGTTTCTTCCAAAGTAAACTTTTACATGCTCATAACATTCTAAAATATTTTTATTTAAATATTTATAATCGTATAGATTGAATGATAACGTGAATGATAAATTTTAATTGCGAAATTGAACTCATTACATTAAGTTTTCCAATTTTTTACAAGGCTTATATGGGATTTTCATACACTCTAAATATTTTCATATATTCAATAAGTGGCTGTGGCAGAGGATTAAATGGTCAAAAGATATATTTAGACCGGCCACGTTGATTCTTAACAAGCATAGTGTGACCAAATCCTTAAAGTAGCACGCAGCTGTTGCGGCAGCACGCGCCTGCGCCCGCGCAGCATCATTGTTCCGCACGTGCATCGCGATCACGTGCGTCCTCACTTCTCCCATCACCTACCACACAAAATACAACGCATCGATCGCAAATCCTTGTCTGCACTGTGGAACTTAAGCTACGAAAGTAAAATATAATAAGATAAAATAATCTTCGAACGTTAGCATTAACTACGTATTTTATATGACGACCTAAATCAAAGTGTTCTCATCTCAGCCCCTTCTTTTGTTATGGTTGTTTATCATTATTCAGTCAAGTACGCATTCACAAAACTGATATAACTGATATCGGATTTTATCATGTCGCAGTAAAGTTTCTGAAATGTTTCTAGAACATTTAGAATAATAAAATAATACATTATCCGGGAAAAGAAAGGCACAGGAAACCCTTATCAGAGTATTCAAATGTATATATATAACTTTTTTACAATGAACAAATTTATTATTGCTGGCGTTAAACCTGTTTAACTACAGGAGCAAATGTATTGTCATAAGAGTGTGTAGCTTAATATTATGTTTAATCATTAATTAATGTAATGGCTGTGTAAATAATACTTAATACCCTGTACACACGATGGAAAACAGAAATATTATATAGGTTTAAAAGATGTAGACAAAAAACCAGGTGTTCGGGAGCATTTTTTGCCATCTCCCAGCAAACCAACCCCGACGACGAGGCTTCGTTTCAAAACAAAGTCAAGCTGCGTCGAACATTGAACTCGCCACCTGGCAATGTTTTTATGTGATACGGAATCCACATGGCGGGAACAGAAAACAAGTCTTCTGGCCATGTATCATTTATTGCAGCCGGTAATACTGTTACAAAATAGAGTGAGTAAGAATATAGTAGTACAGAGCTTCATGCTCTATCCAAAATGTTTCAAATAAATAAATAGCTTTTTAACCGAATGAAATGTATTACAATTAATTAGCAAATGTATCCCAGCTGCTATACGCCATTTTTTACATATATGCAAATGCCAAGGAAAAATTTTACGCCACGTGTTTACAATTTTACATATGTACATTTTACATAATCACGCATAGACAACAACTCTGACGTCGATGCAGTCACGTCATTTATATTACTAATGAAACCCTTATGAGTAAGGAAAAAACAAGAATGCAATAGTACAATTTAGATCTGACTACTAACTTAGTTTTATTATGCTTTCTAAAAAAACTTACTGCAGGTGGAGTATATTATATTATGCACTTATCTGTAACTGAAACGCATATTTTACTTTCATACTAATAATAATAATTAAACGTTAATGTGCACATCGGAAAATGTTTACTAAACTCTTTCCGAATGTAGAGTCTCTGATACGCATCAGATGTGGTGTCATATTACAATTGCCTAATAACAATTTCATTACGTGAAAGAGCAGAGGTATTAAAATTAAATTTGACTCCAAAATGTATTTCATAATTAATCTAATCACACTTAAAATCGTAATATTCTTACATCTACCAAAATTTATTCATTCGGCGTTACAGCTACAGTTGACCGATGAGACTATTTTTTCGGATCTTAATTGCGTATATTTGTTTTTTCAAACAAACCAACGTTTCGGGTCCTTTACATGTCCCATGGTCACGAGTAACTGAGATAGTAAAGTCATCAACCAGTTATGTGTAACATTAATACAAACCACCCCATTTTTCACTATCGTTACAAAATTTATTAATTAATTACCGTATTCTTAATTTTTTTCAAATAACGTTCCAATTTACGTTAAAATATTTTATTTTAACAACAAATTATTTATTAATAAAATTATATTATTAATTAATAATGGTAATTCGAATAACTTAAAACATATTAATTAGTATTGCAGTCTGCTTGGGATTTTTCATCGGAAATACAGAATCCCAAACTGGTGGATGGTTTCTCCGTACGGTGGTACGGAGAAACCATCTTCCCTGTTGAAATTAGGATGATTTTTTATTTTCAATGGGTTTGGAACGATTGGGTTTTAACCTAAACAACAAAATCGCTAATCACAATCGAACGAGTATATAAGTGTAAAGTTCCAAATAAGAAGTAGGTAAGTGTAAGTTACTTCTTATTTGGAATCACCAACAATCGCGATTTAGCAATTTAATAAATTAAACTTTCGCACGTTTTGGAGTTTTCAAAACAAAGCTAAGTATTGTATATAATCTTTACTTGTAGTATTTTTTATTCCAAAATTGGAAATCCCGGACGACGCTAAGTCCGCCATTTGGTTTATCCGTTGACCGGCCATTCGTCACTGATTCTTGCATGTGTTCGGATGCTCAGCTTCTTTATAGAAAGAAATATCAAGTCTTTTATTCCAGAATTCAATAAAACCAGTACAGATATACTTTTGTAATCCTATGAATGGAATATCATCAATTAGTATCGAATCGCTCCTCAGAGATAGCCTAATTATTGTATATGGGGGGGCAAATAAATGGAACTTGGAATAATTTGGATTAGGTACTAAACCGTCTATGGTCGGGTCAGTGATTTATTTATTTACTTTTCCTGTAAAATGAATTGAAACGAAGTATAGTTCTGATTCACGTGAAAATGTATCATGTTTACGTACAAATAACAGTTGATAAGATATTCGAACAATAAGTACAAAGATACTTCAGGGTTGTTCATATTGAAGTATAACAGTTTTGTAAGTAAAAAAACAAGCAAAACTAAACATCGGAATTATAATTCCGATTCTATGTTTAAAAACAGTGCTCATTTCCCAAAATAGCTTTCACTAAATAAAAACGGCAGGCATTAAGGAAATGCATTCATGACAATTTTGCATTGATTTTGTGAATAACAACCCTACAAGCGAACGGAAGATAAGCGCAGCGTTGGCGCCAAACGTCCACGTGGTTGCGCGTCGTCATACGCGCCGGGGCGCCGCGCGGAGCGTCATATCGATGTATTGGACTGTTAT